ATAAAGTTCTATAAAGACCTATGAGAACCACTAGTCCATCTGTTCAAGGTTAATAAAAGAAAAATTAATAAATATATTAAATATAAAAATGAATTAATACTAATCTAATGTTAAATTATTTTCATATTGCAATTTCTTAGTTACTTTATAATTAACTTATCTTAATTCTTCTTCAATTAATCTTTCAGATAAAATTTTTCTTGATGAAAGTGTTTAGGATAGATTTAATTCTTTAATAAAATCTATGAAAAATGGATTTTCAACAATTTGAAAAGAAATACCACAACAATCAAAAAATTTTACTAAAGTATAATTAATTCTTTTTATATATTCTAATGTTAATTCTTCAAGTTGATTAAATAATTGTTTTAATAAAGTTTGTGTTTTATCAATTAATTTTCTTTTTTTAGTATTTGAGAAAGAGATAGAAGGTAAATTAGAAGATTCTTCAGAATTAGAATGTTTATGAGAAATTCTTGTATAATATAATCAGATACTTTCTTACAATAGTTAGCAATATAACCTTCCATTTTTGCACTTTCTTCTCAATAAAGAAAAACCACAAAATTTACAAGTAATATGAGCATGACCATCTTGTGTATTTTTAGAATAGTCATAATATTTCCAATATTTTTCTTGAAATCAATCTTTTTTTCATATACTTTCTATGATTATATATTAAAAAAGAAAAAAGATTATCAAAAAATTTTAAAAAAATGATTAGATTCTTATTCTTAAATTTAGCTTAATTTAGTAAATCAGATTTAATTCAACATCTTATTAATTTCAAATTAAGTTTAATTAAAAATTTAATTAATTTATTATTATCAGCTATAAATAAATAAATAAGGTAAATTTTGATTTTAATCACTGAAACTTATATAATTATATAGTAAATATATCTACGAAATTAGTTTCAGAGTTTTGGAAGAAATAATATATTTTAGAGAAAGTTTCAGATTTCAAAAATAATTTCAGTTTCTGATTACAGAGTTTCAGATTTTGGATATTTTTAAAATAATTACAGCTAGTAACATTAGTATTTTTAATTAGGTAAATAAGGGAATTATCAGGTATTTTATTATAATTATTCATTTTTGTAATAATCATGATAAAAATTGTAAGAAGGATAGCAATTATTATTATGCAATTTTTGAATAAATAATTAAAATTGGGTTATCATAATCTCTATTTAAGCTTTTTGATTAGCAATAATAGCAACTTGTATATTAATAATACTTTGTAATTTTATATATATTAATTGGTTTGAAAATAGAATTATCATTATCTTCAGATAATGAATTAGAAATTCAAATACATTTGTTGATATAAGAGCTAGAGCTATTTTGAAAGATATTAGTTTAATAAGAGGTTGGGTGATAGAAACGTTTGATATAATAGAAGTAAAGATTGATTAGAATCATTCTAATTTAAGAATACAAGCTTTCAAGTCTATTATAGCTTTCTGTATACTAGTAAGTATATTTGAAATTTGACCAAGTTTGTTGTTAGTATCAGTATTATTATTATTAGAATTATAAATAGAACTATCTAATGAATTATCATTAGAATCTAAATTTTTTGTTTTTACCTTTATCTTTATTAGATAAGGTATTAGAGTAATTTATATTATGCGAGAAATCAGAAGAACCATCATTCTTATTATAGGTATTTTATTAATGAAAGCTCAAGAACTAGCAGATTTAAATTAATTGTATAACTTTTGTATTAAAAATAGTTATGATTAAAATCTTTTATTATCAAAGGAGTAATATCTTTTTTAGAAGAAGTAATTTGTGAATATTTAATTATAGTATGATCAAAAAAATCATATTTGTGACAACAGCATTTTACATTAGCTAGAAACCATTTTAATTCATTATTTTTGAAGACGTAATCATTGTTGATAATATCATTCATATTCTTAATTATATCAAAATAGAGAATGGCAAAAGAGTATAGCTTATAGTTATTTGATCTTAAAATGTAACAACCTTTTGCTTTAATAGTGATAATAATATTCTGAAAGTCATATGCAGTAATACTAAAGAAAAGATTAGTAAGCTTAATATGAATATCATTCCTTTATTTTACTTGATCAGCTGAGAGATTAGTGAGATAAACTCTTATATAATTATTATACAAGTATCATGACTATTGTATATAAAATAATTTGATAGACTTAAAATCTTTATAAATAATATAAACATATTATCATATACCTCATGTTTATAATTTAACATTAGTGATCTTATTATATTTAGTAAATACAGATATAAGAAAATCTTTTTTTGTATTGAGATGAATATTCATTACATATTGTGTAAATTGATGAAACTGCATATTATCCTTATATACTTTATAGTCAACAAGTTAATCGATTTTAAAATTGAAGAAATTTATTGAGAAGGTAGTGTTCATTAATTCCTCATTGTTAAATTAGATTATCATAGATCTAATAAAATTAATGTAATGAATATTAACGCCTTTAAATGCATCATCTTTCGCAAAGTGGTTGTTGATGACTTTGATAATTATTTAAGTTAAAAGTTTTTTTTGTAATCTTATTGATAGTAAAAGTTATATATGAAGTTGAAATGAACAAAAGTCAAAATGTTTTGACTTTGGAAGCCAAAATCGAAATAAAAGGTTGAAATAATCGAAATGACATGATTTTTCATATAAAAAAAAATCTAAAAAAATAAAAATATATGATCTCAATCAATATTGTTCTGATTCATATGTAATTACTATCATTTGATTCCTTGTGATTAGATGCTAACATGCTTTGATTTCAGATCATCTCATCTCAGAATATTCATAATTAAATTTTGAAATTCAGACCTTTTATTTAAAGTAGAATTTATTGATTTATAATTTTAGCTAATAATACAATTGCAATTATCTCGAGATAGGATGATCAGAAATCAATGAATATTAGTTTATTGAATCCGTCTAATTGCGAGAAATTAAATAGTAGTTGTTTCATATAAATCAGAATGGTATTAACCGAGATTTTACATTTTTTGTTTTTTGTTTTTTCTTATTATGTGATATAATATCATTTTGACTATTTCGCGACTTTAGCCTCCAATGATCAAAATGATTTTAATCATTTTGACCATTTCAGATATCTGAAATAATCATTTTGATTTCATGTATAGTAAAAGCATAAGTAAACAGAATTAGATGTAAAATAATAATAAAATCTCAAATGTATGTTTTCATATTTCAATAGAAACATACTCATTCTTGCTTAAAATATTTTTAGGTGATATTTGTTTAGAGAGAAAAGTTTCTGTGATAATACTTTCATCAGAAAATAAGTTTTCATTAAAAATACTTCTTGAGATCAAAGTAACATATTCAGGTTGCTTACTGCTTTTAAGATCGAAACAGAAGAAATTTTTTATCTAGTGTTGTATCTGTTTTTTGAAGCTATTTATTGTTTGTAATTTTAAGTAAAAACTCTTTTAAAAACAAAATATTTTGTTAGAAAAATATCAATAAAATTAACTAATAAAGTTGAAAAATATTAATAAAATTTTGAGCGAAATATTTTTGTTTCCAAAAATTTTTAGATAAAATGAGAAAGAGTTTTTTTTTTTCTAATTTCTAAAAAATTATAAATAAATAATTTATTATAAAATATATAGAATTGTAATATAGAATCATTAAATATATATACAAACTTTATAAAAAATATATTATTTTCTTTTTTGGTATTATTAAAATTTTTATTTAATGATAAAAATACTATATATAAATAATTTGCTATTATAAATATAATAAATCATATAATCTATAATATGATTTGAATAGCAAAACACTTATATAATATCATTTCTTTATAAAATAAAAAATATATTTTTTTTTATTTTAAAAATTATATTTTAATTAAAAATAACAGATATAATAAAAATAAATTAAAAAAATATTTTTTGAAATATTATATATATATTAATTTATTCTAATTAGTAAAGATACTATTTATTTTATAATTATTATCATTTGTTTTTAACAAAATATCTCTTATAAATTATTAAGTAATAAATAATTATAAAAAAATAATATGAAATTTCATATTATTTTGTTAATTTAAACTAATTTTTATAGATTAATTTGAATTTAATAATTTAATTTAAATTAAAAATTTCATCTTAATTATAATAAATAAATATATAAATTAATTTATATAAATATAATTGTTTTTTAAAATTATATTTCAAATTAATTATTTTAAATACTTAATACATTTAATAATAAAGGACTATTTGTAACTTTAATAAAAAGTATTTGAGCTAATACTTTTAATCCTAATCCAAAGACTATTATTAATAAAGTTTTAAAATATCCAATATTTAAAAATACTATTAATTGAAATTTTTTTTTTTTAATATATTATAATAAGAAAAAAAAAAGTAATAAAATAATTTAAATACCTTCAAGAGCTTCTAAATTAGAAGTTATTACTACAAGATTTATAAACCAAGAATACTCTAATTCATTATAATCCCAAATTACCATTAAAATTAATAAAATTTTTCCAAAACTTGATATTATTAATGCTATTGTAATATAATTATATCTAAAGTAAAAAAAAATCAGTCTTAAAATTTAATGAATTTTTCATATTTGTTATTTAAACTCACTTGACAATAGCATATTTGTCACCAATATATAAACTTACAGCCAACCTTAGACCAAATTGAAAAACAATAAATTCTATGTGAAATAAATTATTTAGATATAATATCATTTTTTTTTAAAAAAAATGTTTATTTTACTTACCTATGATACATAAAAATAAAATATATAAATACTGCAGAAAGAGCGGTCGTTCAATAAATGGAATATTTGAGACTGTATAATATTTTTCTAGGCTAAACCATTTTATGTCTTTTTTTTTAAAGGAAGAAAAATTAAGGATTGCGTAAATAATAAATAACATAATTATTAAACAACTTATTTGTCAAGCAAATTTTCAAAGGATACAAACATCAAAAAGTATGAGTAGGATACCAAGTTTCAATACATTTAGCTAAAAAGTAAAGATTGAAATATGAATATGAAGGTTAGATTTGATTCTTAAAAAAAAAAAAAAAATCGATAGCTTCACTTACATCAATTCCATGGTCTCGATATTCTAATCGATTAAATAATAAATGTCGATATACTTGAGGTTTATGTAATAGCATGTCTATAAAAATTATAACAAAATCGTGTTCAACATATTTGTCCGCAAATTTTTTACATTTCTCCTAAATAATTTAAAAAAATTTATTATTTAAAGTATAAATCATAATGAATAGAATGGTTTTCAAAAAAAAATTACACAATGAGTCAGTCGAATATTTCCTTTACTATATTCTGTGTATAAATTAGTTACAGGTGCTCCACATTCAACACAAGTTGGCATATCTAGTTTTTTTGGAAAGAAAAAGGCGACAAAACTCGTGTAACGTTACTAACTGAAAAAAAATATTTCACGTTATTTGGTAAAATAATCGATTCAAACAAAAATCCTGTGCATCGATAAACAACTTGGTAAATTATTTTGAGAAAATAAATTTATTTGGCTTATTTTTATTTACTTACATAGAAAGATTATTTAAGAAGTTCCGTGTCGATAAAGCTTTATAAGAATCGTCAAAAAAAAATTATTTCGATGGTTTTATTGACAACCATTGCGTAACCATATGGTTTTGACCAATCAAATTTGAACAACACATTAAATTCGTTGTACATCTATCATATAAACAAAATTTTACAAAATTTAAAGTTTTATTCTTCCAAAATCTTTTCCACTTTTAAATATCTTTAAAAAAAAATGCGATTAACTTCTCTTTCATTCTGGGGGTTATTATTATTACTATCAGTAGATATTATATATTGTGGAACTGATTATTATTCAGTCTTAGGAATTTCACGGTCAGCAAGTTCAAGAGAAATTAAGAAAAAATATAAACAATTATCAAAAAGATATCATCCCGATAAAAATCCTGGTGATAAAGAAGCTGAACAAAAATTTGTTCAATTAGCAGAAGGTATAGCTTAACTAGATTTTTAAATCAATAAATCCTGTAAAAAGTGTGATGTTTAAACACTTTTTCTTCAATGACGTAGCATACGAAGTTTTATCAGACGATGAAAAACGAGATATTTATGACAAGTATGGAGAAGAGGGACTAAAGCAGCGAAGCCAAGGTGGAAGTGGTTTTCATAACCCATTTGATATATTTGCCTCATTCTTCGGAACTGGTCATTTCGGTAATAACTATATATGTTCAATATCATTGTTTTTCTATATGGTTTAATGTAATGATTCATGATTTAGGTCATCATCAACAATCGGAAAGGCAAGGACCAAGCATTACTATGGAAATAGAAGTAGAGTTAAAAGAATTATATTTAGGAGCTCAAGTTGAGGTTGATGTTTCAAAACAAATTATTTGTGAACAATGTGGAGGATCAGGTGCAAAGAATTCAGATGATGTCACCACATGTAATGTTTGTGGTGGACGTGGAGTTAAAGTAGTTAAACAACAGCTCGGTCCTGGAATTTTTCAACAATTTCATTCCACGTAAGTACAAACTCTTTAAAAATGATTTATTTAAAAAGGTTTAGCTTTGATTAATCTATTGATTTACAGATGTGAAACGTGTGGCGGAAAAGGTAAAATTGTAAAATCAAAATGTCCAGTGTGTCAAGGAAAGAAAGTTCGACGTGGAAATGAACAATTAACAATAATAATTGATAAAGGGCAAGTTGATGGTGGAACGATTGTGAGTGACGAAAACCTTTTAAGAAGTTAGAGGTGTATTTTATATTTATAGTATAAGTAATTGATTTATTTTTAATATAGGTTTTTGAGAAAGAAGGGGATGAATCACCAGATACAATTCCCGGCGATATAATATTTAAAGTAAAGACAATACCGAATCCGAAATTCGAAAGAAAAGGAGACGATTTATATGCAAAACAAACAATATCACTGATAGATGTAAGAATTAAGCATCAAGCATTAAGCGTTAAAAAAAGGACTATGCTAATCTAACGTTGTTGTTTTAGGCACTTACTGGATTTGAAAAGAATATGACACACCTTGATGGTAGAAATGTTTTACTGAAAAGGGATAAAGTCACGCAACCGGAATTCGTTCAAATTATTAATAATGAAGGGATGCCACAACTTAGATCAAAAAGTAAAGGCGATTTATATGTACAATACACGGTAGTATTCCCTACTGTAATAGATGATCATACCAAACAAGGTAAGAACAGCATAATAGGAAACCTTTTTTCTTAATAATTTTATGAATTCTTCTTTTTTTTTTCAAATAATAATATTATTATTAATTTTAATCGCAACAGTGTTAAAAGACCTTTTCGAAAAACCTGACACGCGTAATATACATGAAAAAGATGAATTATAATATTTAAGGAAGACTACTTATAGAAATTATTTAAAATAGAGGGTTAATGCCTTTCAATTTTATCACTATATATATATTACATTTTAATTTGGCACATTTCCACCATATATCATTTATTTCATGAGCCAATTAATTTATTTAATTCATCATATTATGTAATTTCTTCGTAACAATTTTTTTTTCCTATTATATACAATGTAGAAAAACGATTAATATAGTTTAATTCTTTTGATTGTTAAAAAATTTTATTAATGAATGAAGTCTTGTTTTTTTTCGTGAATCGTCTCATTTTTTTATTAAAACGATTTGATACGTTTTCTGATTCTATAAGAAAAAAAAAAAGGTTTAAAATATGTTTATATAGTAAGAAAATTTTAATAAATTGATTTCTTACCATTATTCCCATTTTTTAATCCCTATAAAAAAAAGATAAAATTTAATATTGAATTAAAACAAATATTTACAACAATATTTATAAAAAACTTACGGTTGTATTATAGTAATAATATTTAAGATGAAAATCAAGAAAGATATTCCATATGCAAATATAATAAAATGTAATAAATTTAAAAGGTATATTTTTCGAATTTGTTCATAAAATATTGAATAAGGTATAAACATCAAATTAATTATTAAACATGTTAATCCCCAAACAATATTAAATATTTGCATCTAAAAAAAAAAAAGAAGAGAAATAAAATTCAATTATCTAATTAAAAAAATTAAATAAAAAATAATAAAAATTTCTTACCCTGCGAATGCGAGCTTTAAATATAATTTGACATTCTTGTGAGGCTTGATTTGAATTTTCATTAATATCATTAATTCCAGCCAATTCAATACCCTTTATCGCCAAATTAACTGATATTCTCCCATAAAATAAAAAACATATTACATAAAATAAATTATTACATTCGTAAATCAAATCTACACAAAATAAAAGAATCCTTGCTCTTTTATTATCACCATTCCTATCTATATCAAATCCTCTAATCAGTAGAAGAATAGTTACACCAAATAAAGTATATATCGATAGAAACCGAAATATTTTAGTAATTTGACTACCTTTTGGTATCCATATCGTTGTTATTTTAGAATTAGAAATTTCACTTTTATTAGGAAGGAAAGATGAAGATATGGATTGACTCAAGGATAATTTGGGAATTAATCGGAATATACTGGCCAAGTAAATCTGAATTGCTAATTGACCTGGTATAAATCCAATTTTATATATTAAGCTTCTTATAACCATGTTTCCTGCAAAAAGATCTAATACTGTAACGGTGCTACAAAGGCTACGAAACAAACAATATATAGCTAGCCATGTCGTTATTATATTTATCGATGTCCATTTATGTATTTTCCATATTTTATCATTGGAATGAAAATATAATCTCCAAAACAGAAATGATGAAGTCAAAAAGAAAACGAAAAAATCAAATATCCCAGCTATTGACAATAAAACTTTATATGTTGACCGATCTTTATTATTACAATTTAGTAAAGTTTCCCACCTAAAAGAATAAAATTATTCAAATTAAACGAAATCCTTTTCAAAATTCATTTCACTTTTACATAACTTACTCGCAATATGAATTTTCTTGATCATGAATCATAATATGTACAATATCATAAGATATATTCGACATGGTTTTAACGCATTAAAAACAATTTGAAATTCTTTTTTTATATAAAAATTAAAAAAAAAATGATCACCCGCGATTAATAATTGATGTAATTTAGATAATAAATGACTTCAAACATCAAACCTTAATTAGTTAAGTCACGTCAGGTGGCAAAATTAATAACCCATATACACCGGATATTGAAAAATTGTTCTTTATACGTAAAGTGTGATCTTTACTGTTTGAGCAAATTAATATTATTTCGGCATTTATATTATTGTTAAAAAGGATTGGAATCGATTCTAAAAGTAATCGCGATTAATCATTTCCGAGATTCGATTATAAGATTCGATTTATGGAGAAGTGAATTTATTGATTCTTGGATATACGCGGATATATATTTTTTTCTTTCGGGCGATTATTATTTTTTTTTTTTTCTTTATTTTTTTTTAGGATACAATTTTTAAAATACTCGATTTTTTTTAATTCCTATTTTGAATTTGGCAAAAAATTTAAACCTTTATAATACACGGTTTTAATAAGATAAGTGTTATTTAATAATTTTATTATTTATATATATTTATTTGTCAATAATATATAAAGATAGAACATGTACATTTGTTGAAACTTAATTTATTTTTATAAAGACTAAAGGAAAATTTGGTAAAGCAATGATCTTTAAACAATTGAAATAGTAATAAATATATTTTTTGACATTTCTAAAAGTAGAAATCCCATATTAAATCTTATTAAACAGTAAAGAGAAACATATGAAATGAGTTTATTTTTATTTATTATTTAGTTTGATTGTAAAAGTTAATCATACCAAATAATATAATCATTTACTTTAGATTTCTTTCATTTTAGATATTCATTACGGTATTACGAACTAAACTCATCACAATCGTATTTTAGAATTATAGATTTGATCATGATTTAGGCATTTATTCGGTCACGCATTATCATGCATATAAATAAATGTTCGATCAACAAATGATAAATCCTCTGATAGATATTGACAGCTTACAAACGATCAATAAAAGATGATTCGTTCTCGCTAATTCCGCTAATTCATGGCGTTTTTATGTTTTTTTTTTATTCAAGGTTGAATCACTTCTCATTTCGGTTAACTACTCATACAGTAATAATTTTCATGTGAAACTTAAAAAAAAAAAATCTTTTTTTTTATTTGACAATTTATGCAAAGTTAATGTATTTATGTATTTGATGATTATATTTCGGAAGTTCCATCATTATTGTTATCCATCAAGTGATGTGTATGACCGGTGGATTTATGACCGTCTACGCAACATTCAATATTCTTAAACCATTCATCTTCAAATATATCTTGTAAAGTGGCACGTTTTTCTGGAACAACTTCGACGATTTTTCTCATAATGGAATGAGATGCCAAAGGAAGTTTTTTCAATAAACGATCAGGGTAACGTAAATAAGTTTTATATGAAGATTCTTTACTCGCTTTAGCCACCAACCAAGGGAACCTTCCCGTAATCATACATATGTAAATTATTCCCAACGACCAGATATCTGCTGATCGTACATCATAAGATGCGCGAGTATACGACTCTGGACAAATATATGGATCCGATCCACAAGGACCTAAAGATGAAAGGATAAACATTCGTTTAGTAAACCATCCAATTAATTCAAAAGAAGGAAAAAAAGATATCTTACCTGAGGAGAGTATGACTTTATTATAAAAAGGATATTTAAAGACGACTGAACAACCGAAATCAATTAATTTTACAATTCCAAATTCGTTTAATACACAATTATCTAACTTTAAATCCCTATGAGCGATTCCCATGTTATGCAAATAATCTACACCCAACACAATTTGTTTGAAACAACAATGAATTTCGTCCTCGTTCATTTTTTTTGACATCACAATTTCAAATAAATCATAAGGGGCAAATTCCATTATTTGGTATAATTGACCATTTTCTTGTATAATATCAATGGTTTCAATGATATTTTCATGATGTAAAGTCGATCCTATACAAAATTCCGCGGTAATATTTTTTAACCAAGATTTTTCTGATTCATTTGGGAGTCGTTTACGAAATTGTTTTACAGCAAAAGGTTTATTATCAGGTGTACAATGTATTAAACGAACGGTTCCTCCTACCCCTGTTCCAAGTACTTTACCCCATTTACCATATTTATTAAATTGTACGTGTTTAAAATTATAATATGAAGAATTATTTGTTGATATTGAAATGGATTTGGATTTGGATTTGGATGATGATGATGATGATGATGAGGAGGAGGAGGAGGAGGAGGATTTAAATGCCATTTTTATTTCACGAAAAAAATTTTTTTTCTTTTGCGATTTATCCCTTATCGAGGAAGGTTTTTCGAAAATAAATTGCAGAGGCGTAGAAAAAGAAGTTGATGATTCAGTGGTTGTTGTACTCGAAATTCCTGAATTGCTAAGCTGTGGGGTTAATGGACGAGATTGATTGGAAATATTTGGTTGAGACATTGAATCACTTGGTTCGTATAATGATAAAGTTTTATTCGCTGGTAATTGTTTCTTTATTTCTGAATCATTGCCTAAATTTAAATTCGGCATGGTTGAAAATGCTTTTAAAGATTTTAACCCATCATCTTCTTTATTTTGACGATTTAAAGGAATATTATGTAATAAAGGTGAAGGTGGTATAGATATTGATGAATATATTGAGTTTCTTCCTGAAGAAGGGGTTGAATATTCATTACCTATCCACTCTTTGCTCTCACCATTTCTATGTATTATTACTTTTGTTAGTGATTTTGTTGGTTCTTGATATTGATTAAAACTGGTTGCATCGAGAGCCATTTTTTCAATAGAAAAAAGAAAAAAATAAAAAATAAAATTTGATATTTATACGGAGAAAATGATTTATTTACAAAAGATGTTTGAAAATTCATTGTACATGTTAAAAGTTTCGAAACAATTTATATAATTTTTTTGTTTTTTTTATATATAGTAAACTAAAAAAAATAATAATATGTGTACTTTGACAAACATAAATTTATTCGGTAAAAATATTCAACCGAATTCAACCGTTATGATTAAAAGAACAATAAGCACGTAGTAATTATGTTGATCGCCAATGCAAGGCATGTTAAAATACAGGATCTCAAAAAAAGGGATTCACGAGGAATATTGTATATCCCGAATACTCCGTAATTTTAAGTTTAACCGATCTCCGTTAACTGCGGTCAATCAAATAGAAGGTTCCTGACATGACAAAAAAGGTGCATTTCTGCAGAAGGTTTCAAAGTGGCTATGTTCAGCCTTTCTTTTTTATTTATTACAATGATTAGTCATATAATATCATCACAGTGATTCATATAATTCGAAATTATTATTTCGGTCCAGTCTAATCTATTTTAAACTTGTCACAATCAAATAAAAAATTATATACCATACATACATTCTACAATAGAATTGTTTATCCGAGGACTTACAAATTATCCGTTATATTTTTATTTAAATTTTTATTTGTTAGACGTTTTAATTTCATCAAGGAAAAAAAAAAAAATTTATTTATTTAAATAATAATAATTATTTATTATAATTAATTTGACAGCGGATCAAAAAAAAATTTGATCCGACATGATTGGTTAAATCTGAAAATTGGATCTTAGTTACCTAAATTGGTTAGTCGATCGTTCGAGAAATAAGTCAATACTTTGCTTTTTTTAGACAGAATTGAAAAAGAATTAGAATTTGCAGTTGAATAAGTAAAAAAAGTGTGGTAAAGTTCGAGGAGAAATGGGAAGATAGGTTGAAAATGTCGAAGAGGGTGAAGGCGTCAGAAGATCACGAAGGTGAAAGGGATGAGTTAGAAGAGGATAAAAAGCTAGAGGACGAAAAAAGATTTTTGGAGGAGAGAGGTTGGTGAATGGAGTAAGAAATTACGTGAATGATTGAAGAAAAAGGCAAAGGACAAATTGCAATATTTTATTTATTATTTGAGTTATAATATTTGCAACATAAACTGTTTATTCCTACTATGAAAAATGGCAATTATTACATTTTGACGTTCATTATTTGACACTTTTCTTGAAGGTAAGTGATATTTTATAACGGTTAATTTGAAACGAGGATCTTGCATCACACTTTAGCATGTAATTTATTAATTTATAGAGTATATTGACAGACATGGAATTCTTGGTTCACTACAATTAAATACCATTCACCACTAGTAGCTTTATCAACCATGGGAAAGTCAAAAATGTTGTGGACTGCAGAAGAGAGAACAGGTCATATGGTTTTTGTAAATCTTCGTCAGAAGGATTCATCTGGCGTTCCAAAAATTGCAGACAAGCTCTGCTCATTTCCTGATGAACAAAATGGATTTTCTACTTATGTTGACTTCATTTGCTCAATCATTAATTATCTAGCAGAATTTGAAACAGTAAAAAGGAGTTACTTGATGTACCGTCTATAGTACCCCCTGTATCCCCCCACCCGGATACTATCGCGAATATCAGATTTCCGTGCGAGTACCCGGACTGATGGTATAAATTTTTAATTTTTATTAATATAAGATATGATAAATATTTATCAAATGTAAATAGTTTATTATTATAATAATATGCATGTTATTTTTTCCAGCAAATAATCCAGATTTGATCTGAGTATGACACTTTGCTACAGAAATACCATAACATTTCTTGATTTTTTCAGCATTATGTTATCCCAAGCAACTTTAACCTATTGTGCTACTTTATTATATGCAGGCCTTTTGATTCTTTCAGCAGGAGTAAGTTCATTTATTATATAATTCATTAATCTAATAAAACAATAAAATTATTAAATAAAAATTAAATTTTAAAAAAATGATCATAAAAAAAATTACCTTGAATTTGAATATTTTATTGATTCCAACATTTAATGGTTAAAGTTTACCAGTTATCACTCCAGAAATTACTGCAATAATTGTTTTGTTTTTTATCAAATCTATTTTTAATACTATTAACCAAATAATCATAAAAAAAATCAAATATCAAAAGATTTCTTGGATTATTATTTGTATTTTTCCAATTATATCATATGTATTCAATTCACCAAAGTATTTCTTATTTATTAATTCAACCTTTTTTATTAACATGAACTTCATTAGAAAGATTTTGTGAAAAATATTTTTTAATTTGAAAATAATTATAGGTTTTAATTTAGTATCATTTGTCATACATACCAAAATTATTGTAAAACAAATTTTTTCATGACTAGTTGTTCTAATACTATCAATTTTAAATCCTTTTGATTCTAATGTTATTGAAGATGGTAAATTAAAACTAGAAAAGTTTCATTAAGATTAGTTATTAAAAATTAAGAGAATAATCATATTATATATATTATTATCAGAAATAATTCTCTTTTCACATATTTTGTCTAAGTTACTTTATTATGACAAGTAAGTTTCTTATTGTCAGACTTTACAATCTTAAGGAATCTCATATTTTATAGATATGTAAAATTTTTTAGAATTATTTTGTTTAACTTTACAAACTTAAAGGTTTAGAGACTTAGGAGAAACTTAGAGAATTTATTTATTCTAAGTGACGAACTTAATAACAAGTTAGTATAGTAGTAGTTTACGATCAAATCCTAGATGATAGATATATAGAAAAAAAGTAATGTTTTAAAGTTGATTCCTTTATTTATTACTTAAAACTTGCAAAAGAGTTATAAAACTTACAAGAGAGTTAATTTACAACTTGAATAAAAAGCTATTCTATTTATAAAAATTAATTTGCTACAGCTAATTATTTGTTATGTTATAAATTAAATAAATTTATAACTACAAATGTTAAGATATAAGATCTAATGAATATATAAAATATAATAAACATCAGTAAAATAATAAATATAATAAATATAAACAGACAGATTTGCAGAATTAGAGAATCAGAAGGTTGTTGTTGATCATTTAATATAGTATTTGATAAACTTATTGTATTGTCATTTTATAGGTTACTGATAATCAGCGTATTAAGGTTAATTTTAACGTTAACAACACTTATAAAAAATAAAACTCAAAAATGAATATTGTTATTTAATTAAATCTTAGTAATTTTTGAAAAATAGTTATTTTTCTTCTATTAAATATTATTCACTGGTCAAAATAATACAATTCAGCCAAAATCAGATATCTGAATTGTGTCTGAATTATGGCTAAATTGTAATAAATTTGGTCTAATTCCTATTGGCATAATTCAGTACCAATAGAACTAATTCAGACATAACAATTCAAACACAATTCAACCTAAAAATTAAGCCTAAAATTAATCTAAATTTAGTTACAATTCAAATACAATTCAATTAAAATCATCATAATTCAACTACTTAAATCAACCACAATCCAACTAATCCAACTACAAATTAACCATAAATCATATACAATTTGATATAATTTACCCAAAATCAATCTAATTCAACCAGCTAAAATCAACTTAAAATCGCAAATCAGAACTAATATAACAAATTAAATTTATTTCAGTTTATTAAATTTATATTTTTATTATTTTACATAATTGTTAATTTAAATTCCTTAAAAAACACTTTCAATATATATAAAAAATAAAGTAAAATAAAGAAATGAATCAAAAATTTCACCTTCAATTGACTTATCATAGTGTATTTCTAAAAAAAAAAAATAAAGAAAAAAGAGAAGGAAAATGATAAATTTTCATCCAAAAAATTATTAACAATCTTCTTAAAAATAAGAAAAAGAAAGGAAAATGGTAAATAGTAAATTTTCATCCAAAAAATCATCAACGATTTGCTTACCTTAAGAAATTTTCTAAAAAAATAAAAAAAAGAAAGAAAAATAATAAATTTTCATTCAAAAAGTTATCAACAATTTGCTTATCTTAAGAAATTTCCTAAAAAAAATAAGAAAAAAAAAAGAAATAATAAATTTCATCCAAAAAATCAAAACAATTTGTTTACCTTAATTTCAAGATAATTTTTCTAAAAAAAAAAAAAAAAAAAGAAAATTCACCTAAAAACTTATTTCTAATTACTTATTTTTAAAATGAAATTTTCTTAAAAAAAAAAAAAAAAAAATAAGAAAAATAGTAAATTTTCACTTAAAAAATAATTTACCATATTTCTGAAATGATAATTTTTCTAAAAAATGATAAAAATCTTTAAGATAAGAAAAAAGAAATACAGAAAAAAGAAAGGAAAAGGCTAAAAAAAGTAAAAAATTTTTTGATTAATCTACAGTCCCAGCCAAAAGTAATGGCGGTTGGGATAATACTTAATTTTTTAATTGTAATATCTCTATTATTCTGATTT